ATGCTTGTTTTCCACCTCAGTGGTATAAAAAAAACTAAATTAACAGCTAAATGCACCGTGTTAGTAACATCATCATCATCATCATGTTATCAACTGTCTACTGCTGAACATATACATCCTCCATAAAGAGGGTTTTGCCAGTAGTTGCCACGCCTGGCAAGCGGGTTGACAAGCGCAGTTAGGCTTTAGGCGATGTTATAAGAGAGACGCTGCTGCTCATCCCTCGACCATTAAGTTCCCTTGGTCGGCTCCTACTACACCCACCGTGTTAGTATAGGAAAATTTAATTTTTTTTTTTGGCATTTGTCAACTATTTCGATTTTTTAATGGGTGAAGATAGAATGGGATACCCTGGTGGAGAATGAAACAATTAAGATGAAGTTAGAACAGTTGATTTATAGTGGTGAATTCAATAGAAATTAACTACATTCTTTTCCAGCAGTGATCTACAAGAGTATAGCAATAGGGCCTCTAGCCCCCACTATTATCAATTTCAATTTCACCCAACATACTCTGTGGGTTGTAGCATGGTGGGGATGACAGTTGATTTTTTAATACTTTTACTACGAGAACCGTAGTGTATCAATAATGATTATAATAAACAAAAAATGTTAAACACGTTACAAGCGTATTGAAATAATACATGGAGATGACACTAATCGAGGCCAATATAATGTTTGCAAACGCTTCCGCGCAAATATCCAGTACTAGACGCCTTATTTATTTTTATTTAGTCATTCCATACCCATTAAATTATGTGACAGTGTGCTAAAATAACTATATATAGTGCTAAAATAGACAGACTCTTTTCAGTTGTTTTTGAGCGTATAACTAGAGTTATATATTTCTTTTTATTTGTATTGGTCATGATTTTTTAATCAAAAGTCAACATAACCGATATTTTCTCACAATTTTTTTATCAAATATAGTAAAACTCCACAAGTGACGTTTCAATCATTTGTCACACGCACCATGCTATAACGCACAGAGAACAGGTCCCGTTGAAATCTTTTAAGGGAATCCTAGAACTTTTGAAGGTCATTGAAATTATTTGAATTTCAGACAAATTTTTTCCAATCATATTGGTGTACATATCTTTTGTTTAAAGCACATATTGTTCTATTAATATTTCTAAGATGCTATTTAAAATTATTCAACTAAATTGAAATAATATATTTGAACATCTTGTCACCAAAATAATGAATGAGATTGTCAATTGTTTCCTCGAAAAATACAGTTACATGAAATATATATAAAAAAATCCATTAAAGAATTCTTTTCTGCTTATTTTTTAGTAAAAAGGTAACAATTGGTGATACAGCCAAATAGTAGATAGTATCTTCCAAACAAATAAACGAATGCCTTGTCGACATGTAACAAGAGGAATAATAAAAAATACCTAACGCTCAATAAATGTTTATTATTTCTTTAATTGTTTTCAATTATTATTTTCTGTAATAATACTATTGCTATTATAAACGCGAAAGTTTATGACGATATATGGATGATATTTGTTATAGTTTCATGCAAAAAACTAATGAACAGATTTGTATCAATTTGGTACACAGATAGATTGTATCTATATAGGTTAACTTGATATATGGACGCGTGAATCAGTATATAATATATAGAATATTTTTAATGGGTGATAATGGAATGGTAACCCCGCCCGCGTTATCGTTATACACCGGCGGGGCAGCAGTGAAGGATGATAGGTGAGGATAAAGCAGGTCAGTTAGGCCATCGTGACGATTTCAAAAAAGAATTGTTCACGATGATTTCCAGGAGGAACCACGTGGAGGTCGACCTAATAGGACATATTGCTAGCAATGAGATTGTCAAACTCCATTGATAAAAATCCCTTTCCCCCCATATAGAATATATTATATACTAGTTCACGCAGACAAGTAATACAAATATTCAAATGCGCTCCATTCCAGATGTTATCAGTGGCGATCGAGTGAGGCAAGTGCAACCCATATTGTAATAGAAAAAATTAAACCATAAAAATAAGAAGGATTTTGCAACACGCCCCTTATTCCTGTCACTTTTCAGTATATCTATAGATTTCATAAACGATCAAGTTTATTATCTAGAAATATAATAAGTGGGTTTGAGAAATGAAAATGTGCTCCAATGTAAACTACGTGGGAGATTAGAATCCAAATGAATGTAGATGACATAACGATTGCATCAAATCAAACATGCTTAACAAGCAATTTTAATTTTCTTGAAAAATGTTTTTAGGGTACGATTTTATTCAACAGATACAAATAAAAAAGCAAAATATAATTCAATTGTATTAAGAGGATTTTAATACGCGCAACAGTTATTATTCTTTTTTAATATTGAGAAAAATCAGTCGTAATATAAGTAATTTTGAAGGCAACACGCTCTAAATAAATTAATACAAAATCAAATTGTATATGTTTATTGAAGAAGATAACACTGACTCTATTGGCAATAAAATATGAAACACGAAATAAGGACCCTTGCTATAATGATTGCCAATCTAATACAGAGAACGACACTAGAATAAAATGATGAAAAGATCGTAATATTGTCAAGTCTTTATATCGACCACGTAAAACCTATTGAAAACATTTAATTGGCATAATATATAGCAATAAAATTCATGTTTAAAACTGATTAGGTATGCTCCATCATATAAAATAGATTTACATAAAAAATTTATTAGGTTAAATCGGAGAATATGAAAAATTTATACGTGATCGCATAATCGACAAGTAGCGCCATCTAGCGGTGAAACGGAGAACTATTCAATGTCCTTGTGCTGCTCTACAATGCTTGCTACAAGAAAGTAAGCCGTACTACAGCGGTGCTACGCGGCGCGGGAAAACGAGAATTAATTTCATAAATATATGTTTGTAACAGCTTATTTAGCTAGATTACGACATTCTTATACGTAAAGTACTTTATTGACACTTAACTAATATATATTCATTTACTACGCTATATTAATTCTTTTATTTAACATTGACTGCAGTTACTTACTATCTCTGAAAGCAATATAATACAAATATTATAAATCAGAACTAATATTATAAAGCTACCTTTATTTATTTTTTATGTTAGAAATTACAGTTTTTCATTGTTAATATTGCGTACATTAAATGAAGTGTTTGTTCCATATTAATATGTACCTACGTATTATATCTCCATCCACGAGATTCTCTGTGAAAACAATCGTGGATAATTCTTGATTAATTTGTCACAATTAGCAAACAAACCTGACTTCATCTTCGTACCTCGCCAGCTAATACTTAGAACAGAGGCAGGATTACCATTCCATTTTCACCCCATACAAATATACATATACACCTCTTTACGAAAGTATTGCATTAAAATTATTTATACAATATTTTATTATCAAATCGATATTAAAGTTAGTTAATGTAACTAAATAATTCATTATAATTACTAAATTATTCCTTAATAAACAAACAAAAAACATCAACCTACTACATATTTATATATGAAACCATTTTGGTATCCCAAGAAAAACCAGTGTGTTAGTATAAGAATAAATATGTTAACAAACGTGTACAATATAAAAAATAAAACCAATCTGTGTTATGAGGAATTAAATTCTTTAGAGATGTGTACAGTATATACATGTAATATAAAAATTAGGAGAGAATTGGGATTGTTAGTAGAGGGGACTACCAGCCTTGCGGCCAGCAATATACGGTGTCTTATTTAATGTATGAAAATAGAAGAATAACCCTGCCTGCACTATCGGCATATGATGGCGGGGTACTAGTGAGGGACGATAGGTGAGGACGAAGCAGGTCAGTTGGCCTATCGTGATGAATCCATCAAAATTAACCACGGTCGGAACCGCGTAACACGTATATTGCTAGTGATGGATATAGTATACTTCTCATTACTTACAATCCCTTTCCCTCCAATATACAGTATAAGGTTGACCTGTGTATGGTCTCCTTTGGAAATAATCGTGACAAGTTCACTGGGAATTATCTACTAAACTTGTCACTATATGATTAACCTGATTCCATCCTCATCTATCACTATCATCGGTTACTTACCTTAGTGTATACTAATAGCTTACGAGAGTTTACTATTCTAATTTAATGTAAAAATATTACGTTGGCTATAAAAAAATCACCTTGTCATGTGGTCCCGGTACAGAATAAGCCACCACCTTCCTCTTAAGGGGGGTTTCGAATCGTCCTAAGTATAGTCTTAATAAACAAAAATTTCCTATTACAATGTTCATTCACACTAATCGTTAAAACCGCTTATCGATTTTAACGGAATTTTGTAAATGTGTATCTTTTTTTTATGCAACTTAGAATGGCAAACAAGCTGACGGCCCACCTGATGGAAAGTGGTAACCGTTGCCTATAAACATGAGCAGTACCATGGACATAACAGAATATACTGTTTTGCTCACGACATTCCCCATGTGTTGCCGTTCCTGATGACTCAGGTGTTATTCTTCTGCACCCTGTAAATTCACTGCCATATTCCATCCTTCAAACCAAAACACAGGCATGTAAACACAACTGCTTCACGGTAGAAACACGAATGGGACAGAGGTACCAAAGCAAACGACTTTTGTACGAAGTCTCCCTATGGTAATCTTATATATCTTATCGTATTATACATCTTTTACTCTAACTTGATATTTATGATAGTTTATAAAATATCGGGATATATCCCGATAAGAAAAATTGGCCCCGTAAGGTGAAGGCAGAAAGTAGGATAATAACGTTTGTCGGGTCACTTAGTTGTATAATATTAAAAAAAAAAAAATAACGCGGCTCTATTTGCAATGCATACTGAAAGTATGTTACCTGACACGTAAATGCATATACAGCATTTTATTATAAAATATACAATACTTGCTGCTATTCTATATAATTTTTTATATATATAATTTAAAAGCTCAAACTCGATATACTGCATAATGTCAACATTATCTTTCCTAATTGTAACTTAGAACTATGACCTACCTTAAAATGCTGATGGGCTGCTTGCTCTTCAGCTTCATACTTGTGTTTTATGTTCTCTATTCTCAACTGTTTCAATACACCGGCCACTTCAATTCTATAACAAAAATATTACAAAATTATGAATTATATAAAAATATTAATTGTACATATCACACAGTTACTGTTAAAGCAACTATTATTTTACGTAAAACATACATTTATAAGCAACTTAATCTTCATCAAAGATGGTGCTTACTGAGTGGATTATTCATTCGTCTGAATATTTTGTGGATATGTCGCCAATTCTGTGCAGATATTCATAATCGATAAGATTTATTCTTGTATAGGTCCCATCTTTATATTGTGATGACTAAATCTGCTGTTATTCTTTACGAAGTAAAATACTTGCGAAGCAATATCTACGTGTAAACATGCGATTACACATTCTTAATTCAAATGCTTTCAATGTAATATAAATAAGAAATATGCCCATATCCATCTGTGAGTGTTTACAATCCAAGTCACTTCTTTATGGAACAAATGTTAACTGAACTTGTAGTAATTAAGAATCGATGGACATACATAAAAAGAAAATATAGTTGAACATAGAAACTGTTCCTTTTTTGAAGTCAGTTGAAGGTCCACTTGAATAAAATAAATAGCATATCACACAGCGCCATCTAGTGCCAAACAAAACTAAGTTTGTATTATGGACACTAAAAAACATACTACATAGATGAACACTTATTTTGTATTGTGCAGGTTTTAATCCCACAATCATCAGCAGTTAAGATAGTGTTAAATGGCATCACCACAAGTTGTCAATATATACACAGTAATTCTTTTGCATCACAAGAATTAGTTTATATTTGAAGTCTTAACTTCTCGAAAAAATAAGACATCCATTTAACACACTTAATTTATACAAACAATTATTACACTTGATTTAAAATATACTAGTTACACTGCCCTGACAAAGTCAGTTGAAATGCATTTTTACAAGGACCTCCCCAAACTAATGATAATACCTTTATTTATTTATTCTTTATTGTACACAAAAAAAAAATTACAACATATAATAATATATATAATATATATAAAATAAAGATGTACAACAGGCGAGCTTAACTCTGTAAGAGTTCTCTTCCAGCAAACCCTGAGTGGAAAGGAAAAAAAGAAAAACCTTTCTACTATTACTCTACCATTTTCAATCAACCATAAAATTAATTCTAAAATAACATTAGTCTAATACATACTAATGTATTAAGTGGCAAATGATATCATTCTTAAGTTATATTTTTAAATACATGTTTATATACCTAATTCTCATATTCTCCTGCAGTCTCCGCAACGGCACCTGATACTCCTGTGATCGGCCCCCACGCACTTCTGCCAGCTGGTACTCTACATGTTTCATCCTTTCACAGAACAGTTGTTCCCGAAGAACTGAGAACTGGCGCTCCAAGTTGGCTGGAAACATATATCAGTTTTTCGGTATAATAAAATGTAGTTTGTACGTAAAATAGATATATGTAATAAAAATATATATATATATTATACACAAGAATTTTTATTAACATTAATCAAGTTCTAAATTCCAATCTTAAAATTTAATTTATTTTGTCATATTTTAAATAATTAAATATAACATAATAAATAAAATAGATTATGAATATAAATATTTATTTTACTTATTTAATTTATTTATATAATACTATTTCAATAGCAGTAACATAGTTTGATAAAAAAAAAAATCTTCTTTTTTTCTCTAATATAAATGTAGTAATTCACTACATTTATATATCATAAACTATGTAGTTTATGGTTCACAGAACCTACAGTGTGGGGGGAAGGCGAGTTGCAACAAGTGTTCCTGAAACCACACTAGCATTTTTCATAGAGGCTTTTCAGTTCAAGACTATTATCATCATCATCGAATCAGCTGTTAACTGTTCACTGCAGAATACAAGCTTCCTCCTATTCATGAATTTTTCCAGTAATTGCCATACTTGGCAAGCAGATTAGCAACCATAGGGTTTAGTGAGGTAAAGGAGATAATACCTCAACCAATAAGTTTTCTTAGTCTTACAACACCCATGGGAAAGGGTGGCCCACTTTATGCTAGGACCACAGGGCTAATTCAAGACTATACCACTAACTAAATGTCTCTTAAATTAAAATTATTAAATATAAAACCAGTGATGTTTTACAAAAAGGCTTTGATATTTTAAAGTCCAAGTGGAAGTTTATATATTACATAAATGTGTTTATTAAGGCTTTAAATATTCATAGAAATGGGAGAAAACAGATAATTATGTTATTTGTTGTTGGCACAATATGCTTTCCTTTGCTACTGAGGTAATGAAAATATAAATAAAAAATAAGTAAATAATAAAGCATACTGTTAAATAGTTTTGAAGAATATTTGGTATTAGTTGTATCCTACAGCCTTACTTATGTGAATCAGTATTTAAAGTATCATATATGCTAAATTAGGATACAAACTACCTAATTTGCAAATTTTATTTAAATCAGTTTAGTAGTTTTTGTGTAAAAGAGTAACAAACATACATCTCTTCATTCTTACAAACTTTTACTTTCATAATAAAGGTTTAAAATCAAGGTAATATTATACCCTACATTGACATATAGAATAATTTCGATCTATAAACAATTTAGGGGAGACAAATCCACTAATTATAGCTAGTTATTACATGATAATAGACTTAATAAATTTATATTTAATAACTACTAGTTAAACTTACATATAAATTGGTTGAAAATAAATTAAATAAAAAAACATTACACTGTTATTTTTATTTAGTTATTTTATTAAAATGTTGACATTACTATAAGTTTATAAGCAAAATTAGCAAAGACTATATATAACCACCCCACAAGATATTCGAAAATTTAACTATACCTTCATTATCAGATCCAGGTTTTTTATTTAACGCGTAAAAATAAATTAATCGTGCGCTTTATAATAAATAATAAACAATAATATTATCGTCCTACAAACCTATTTGTTTGTAAACATAACCTTACTTTTGAGTATTGTTACTTACATAAATTGTCAAGGCATTCGTTTCTACGTCTCTCACATTCGCTCTCGTCCATTTCCGAAGAATCGTCGGAGTCAGGCTCATCAGCTTCCTCGGCGCTGGAATCCCGGTCTGGACCCCTAGATGAGCCTCCAGACCTCTCAGTATCACCACCAGACATATCACCATCTCCATCACTATCACCTTCGACTTTCATTGACGGCATCCTTGTTTTTGAAATTAAGTGAATATTAAAATGAAATAAATTTTTGCGGGAAGATAAGTAGGCTCCACCACAACTTTTTGTACAGATAAAAACGTCAACAAAATCAAATTAAAAGATGTCAGTTATCTACTATACGTCATTTAAATGTCAATCAAACGTCAGATACAGACAGGGTTGCCAGATGTAGATTTTGATTTACACCCAAACATAATTATTTTTCTCCAAATTTATATGATTTACAAAATTTTTACCCGATGACAAAATTGTATCGTTTTTCACAACGTTTTGTTGTGTAACACTAAGTGCACGACGAAAAATGCAATCTGTACCTTTCATCTTACATTTAGTTTATTTTATCCTCGTCTTTAATTTCATGCTCTATTTTGCTATTTATATATATTATGTACAAAGTTTTAAAAAACATCACAAAGAATACTTATTAAAAAAACAAATTTTAGGCATTCCACAGAAATTTCTTGGCTAGCGGTTGCAAACTCATGTAATGATTTTTAATATTTTTTTTTTTTCCATGTTTCTCTTATTAATATTTTCTTTTTTTTCCGCTTTATCCTTACCACTCAGTTAAAATTATATCAAATTATACTCTGAACTATTTACATTATTTTTATTATACACACACTGCACAGACAATCACCAAAAATATTACTCTTTTTATTTTATATTTCTTTTATTTATTATTTTCACGTACCCTCAAATGGGTTAAAGCTGAAAATCAGTGTTTCGTTCCTTGAACAATGTTACACGCTGAGCTTCGACCTTTTTGTATTGCTGCAGATCACACATAATAACACAATTATAAATCTTATGTTGTTTTATGTATTATCTATTCTTATGTACATGTTGTGTGTGATTAGTAACAAACAAATAAACGATCTATCTATCTATCTATATACTAATTTATATAGAAATAGTAGAATATGTATATACGAATATAAAAACTGACCAAAAAACTATCCAAATATGTCTAATTTTTTCTCCAAAATTTTGCATATATAAAAGTTAATACCTAAAATCTCCAAAAAAAATCCAATGCTGACCACAAATTTATGTCAAGTAAGTACTAGTATTAATTTATCTACAATTACAAAGGCAAAGGAACTAAGTCATAAAGCCTAGTTTTCAGAAATTTGTCAAAACAATGTAGGTATCTTTAAAAAGAAAATGTATGCCGTGTGTTCTATAAATTAAGGACCTACACACATTCTAATAAATAAATAATAACAAAATGATGATTGTTAGGGTCGATTTGGCACAGATAAATTTATTTACCAATAAAATTAATGATATGAATGAAATATGATACAAAAGGCGGACATAATGCTATAGGCATTATTTACAGGTCAATCTTAAAGACAAATGACCTTTTTTAAGCCTAAACCTGGGCCCATTATTTAAGATTATTTTCCAGTGGAGATCGATCGTTTAAAAAAGGCTCATATGTAAATACTCGCAGACATGTCTATGCAAGATGGAAAAGGAATTGTCAGTAATGGGGTTTAACAGGGTCATAGTAAGCAATATATTCTATTAGATCGACATCCACGCGGTTCCCCCTAAAATTATTTGCCAGTATTTGCATTATTAGCTATGATGGGCCAACTGACCAGTTTCATCTTCACTTATTACGGATGTAATACCAGTAGTAAGTGCTATATCAGTAACAAGAATCAATATATTAGCTTAAATTATAATTAACAATTTTATTTTTTTATGCGACTTAGAATGGCAAACAAGCTGACGGTTCACCTGATGGAAAGTAATAATCGTCGCCTATAGATATGAGCAGTACCATGGACATAACATAATATATTCTGTTTCGTCCATGATACCCCCATACGTTGCCATGCTTGAGGCCTCAGGTTTTATTCCTCTGTACCCAGCAAATTAACTGCAAATTGTTGTATATACAAAAATAAATGAAAACACGAGATTATTTTGTGTCCTTGTAAAAATCAAAAGATTGAACAATCGTCCAAGAGATAAATATAGATTGCAGTAGTAGATAAAATTAAAAAAGAAAAAAAATAAAACAAACATTATCTGATATTAAATTTAATAGGTACTCTATTATGTACATTAAATTGTTCACTATTAACATGTTATTTATATTTTATTATTTATTCAGTTGTTAATAAATTATATACAGGACTATTTATAAATTAGATAATATCAATACTGTGAAGTCTCGCAAATCCACATTAGGTATAATCGATTATGTGCATGAAAAACATTTAGATTATTGTTCGTTACTTTTAAAATTATAGTAATATATAGTTAAGTACATAATAACATTCCATTCAAACATTAATCATGCACATGTCGATTGTACAATAACTTAAAAACACACAGATTATAATAAAACAATATTTTGTTTACAAATTTTAGCACCTCGCAGGTTACCATTGATGTATGCTCAAATACATATTCCGACTTACGCAACTAATGAATATTTCTCGATCAATTCAAAAACATTATAACACCATATCTCAAAATCAGTACACATAACACGAAATGGTAATGGTATAACGTTTCTACAACATACATATAAAACAACATTATTATTTAAAAATTGTGATTATTATAAAAGAATATTGACCCCACTATGTATCGTGGCCTTATGTATTTGGCACTAAATTATTTGGAATGCACAATCTATCTACGTAGATATACAAATAATGTAATCAAACTAATTTTGAGTACTTAATTTCTGGACATTTAGAATATTGTGTTCATATAATAATATTGCGATTATCTACTAACCTCAATCTAATAATAATCTCTGGGAACCTAATCTAGATACTGCGTACCACTGCGACACCGGTGTCTGTACTTTCATGCCAACAATGGTCGCTGACTAGGGTCGTCGAGTTTTATCGTTAGAATAACACATAAACTGTACGAAATCCGGAACAATCATAATAAAAAGCAAACACACCAAACTCGTGACTATTCTTTATATTATTATTGTATCTATAGTTATATTTAATAACGGTAAATTTACCAAAAGGACACATAGGTACATATTCAATTGGGCAAAAATTGAAATAGGTATACTATAAAAAACAGATATGTCGTTGTACAGTAGGTAAAGTTTGATTATATGGATATAAAATATTGCTTTTCTACTCACTATCATAGCAGTGTTCAACTTAGTTGGTTTATTGTAACTATTAAAATCCTACCATCAAGTCATTCCATAAGAGAACCCACAAGAATACTACTGGAGAAATTTCTCAAAAACCCTAGTATTATTATCTACTGTATAAATTTGGCAATAGAGAAATAGGTATTTTATTGTTTATGCATCGTATTTATTTATTCACTATCTATTTTATATTGCAAACTATAAATTCCTTTTAATTATTGTTGGTTGAGTAAAATCTAAATGTAAATGATCAACATTTTTTTTTATATAACATGATTATTTAAAAATTTCATCTTATTTATTAATGGATTTTATTCTCTTTTATTAATAAGAATTATTTTTGGAACATCAATTTTATATATTTTAGTAAAACTAAATGAATGGGAAACAGTCTTCAGATAATAAGAATATTGTAAATACAATATCATTAATTAAAAATTTAAAAGGTTTTTAGGTATGCTTTTTCAAAACAAAATCCTTGTACTAACGAACGAATATTTTTCTAAATGAGTAAAAATGTTACCTGTAGATACGTTTATGCTACTACACATGAGTTAGAACAAAACGGTTACTTTCGGTATCTTATTTTTTTTCATGTGTAAGGTAGTATAAATTTATCTAGAAATTACGTTTCGTTTGCCACTAGTGTAAGCCTGAATTTTATAGATTAACCAATGGTCCTATCTAAATAAAAAGGAATGAGGACATCAAAAGTAGAGCAAATCATTTAAATTAAAAAGAATCAATAAAATCAGTTTAAAATTGGCTATCGTTATCGTATTACACAGACAACATTATGCGTTTGAATTGTGAACCTTCTCCTTTCTGAAGTCTATTGAAGAATAAGTTTAAATATCGAATTACCATTAAACAGATGAAAAACAGATAAACGCTGACTAAGTATTACGAAAAAATCGAATGTAAAAGAAATACTATTTCATAAGTACGTTTAAACTACAAAAGTGAGCTTAAGTAACCGATATTCAGTGACATTTTTATTTCCTATTTATAAAGTCCATTAAAATTACCAATGAAGGTTACAAACGTTAGAGGCAGCTCGTAAACGGATATAACCGCATCAACCGTTCCATCATTTGCAATTTTAATAAGCAAAATTACAAAACTTTAAAATTACTCAACATTCACGAATAAGGCAGTAGGTTTAGTGGATTAAATCTAAAAAAATCCGACTGTGTATTTTGAACGCTACAAATATTGATGTATGATAAAAAATTAGATTCCCGATCACGCATAAAGTGTTCGAGCTATAGACTAGAGAATATATTCCGCAACCTTAGATTATATAGATAGAGAATCGAGCTTTAAAAACGTGTCAACTTTTTGTCAGCTAATTGTCATATTAGCTGACTCGTTTATTTATTAATGTTATATATACTTTCGCATACAATGTACCTTACGTACGTATCTATACTTATTTAATAAATATAATGAGTTTTTACGCATTAAAAAGGTGCACAAATTATAAGAAAAAATAAATTTAGAAGTTATAAAGGAATCACTTATATATCACACAAAATTATATGAAAAAGTTGACCCGCTTTTTTCGAAGCATTTGTATGGAGATGCTCTATCTAACTATATATAATATATATAATCTAAGGCATATATATATATATATATATATATATATATATATATATATATATATATATATATATATATATATATATATATATATATATATATAACGATAAGGGGCAGGGGGCTAACGAGCTTGCGACTCACTTGGTGGTAAGTGACTACCGCCGCCCATGAGCGTAACTACTAATCTGTCTTGATCTTACTCAATAATAATTTGTTGATAGCAAACGCCTTCCAAATATACCACCTATTATGCAGTTTTTGTCAATAACATTTTTTCAAGAAATACCTGCAATTATGGTATCTATTTAAATTCTTATCCAAGTCAAAACTGCTCTAACGGTTAATTGGTAAATTTTGCATAGAATATGGGCACTGTCAACTTGTCTTGTTTAACAGGTGAATTTATAAGTATTATAACGTAATGTTTTAAACTATAATCTGTTACTCGAACACTTTTTGTAGATATACATTTTTTAGTAATTGTACATCTAGTTTCTTTATACTACATCAATGGCTACAAATTATGGTTTTCGTTGGTTCAGGTTCCTACAAAATTTTATAACTAATGTCAGACGATAGTGAATTTTTTTATTGCCAGTATTTTTATGTAAAGGTAATGAAAGTTCTAATAAATCTATTATTAAATATTTATTTTTCGTGGTCTACCATTCGCATACGAATTAATTAATATTACTAAATTTCTCTCATCCTGGCATTTCCGTAACACCGTACTAAGAAACTTTTCATAAGTATTTTGCACCTCACTTTTTTGTTAAATTTACAAGATACGTAAATAAATTAAGCCCTGATATTGTCAACTTGCCACTGACCAAATTATGATGTTGACGTTGTTTGGGGCAAGTAGACATCAGGCTGGAACTTGATATAAATGTAAAAACAACGGTACTGTAGACGTATTTCGTCACTCTTTTATTGTCACAATCGAGTGAAACAAAATACACCCAACAATCGAATACCAAGCGACCGACCTCTTATTAGTTTCAAATGATCACCTTCAACTAAATATGTAATATTTGGGAACACATTTCTAAATTCTAAATTTTCAACTACCATTTCAGGATCGGAATCCATAGATACTCGAATGTACCTCGACTCTATCATTAGTTTTACCTACAGAACGTGTTTCACCATTCGACAACAACCTATCCCTTTTTAAAGTATATTTTTGCCTTCTATCGCATGAATTGATAAAGTAGAAAAGCAAATGTAAAACCATTTGCGTTATTATTTCCAACAACAATACGAGCTTGAACATTCCGGTGTCTCTCTCGAGAGTGCGGTGTCGCCCAAATGGAGAAGCGGGGCCAACGGGACCATCGGAGCCATTAGAAGTGTTGGTACGATAAGGGCCGTCATAGCCATCAGGGTTAGCAGGGCCGAGGGAGCCATTGGGGCCATCAGGGCCAAGGGGGCCAACGGAGCCTACAGGGCCGAGGGGGCCGCCGGGGCCGCTGGTGCCCACCCCCCGCTAGGTATGCTTCAGCCAGTGTGCAGGCACCCACTGTGGTTCCCTCTCTAGGCTGTTGATTTCGTTCAACAACTGTTGGTAGGCACGTTGTGTGTCGTTATTTATGATAATCATGTCGAACAAATGGCCCCATCGTAATTCCATATCCCTCGCTGTTGCTATTATTTCTTTTAACTCTTCCTCCTGAAATAGAAAAATATACATATTTTTGTTAGCGGCTAGTCAAAGTGACTAAACCTAACCTAATGATAAGCAGGTGATTTGGTCCGAACACGAGGGTCGCCATTAAAATTTACAAGTATAGTGTATACTTTGGAGAGGGTGACTTTGTACAAAAGTCGATTGCTTGGGTACCTCTGTCCCATTCGTGTTTTAACCGTGAAGCAGTTATGTTTGCATGGCTGTGTTTCGGTTTGAAGGGTGGGATATGGCGTGAATTTACTGGGTACAGAGTAATAACACCTGAGTCCTCAGGAACGGCAACGCATGGGGGGTATCATGGGCGAAACAGTATACTCTATTATATCCATGGTACTGCTCATGTCTATAGGCAACGGTTACCACTTTCCATCAGGTGGGCCGTCAGCTTGTTTGCCATTCTAAGTTGTATAAAAAAAAATTACTTGATTGAATTATTATAAGTATGTACTAAAGTCGAGAACACAACTGAACTAAACTGCATCCAATTTGGTGTCGTAGTTTTTGCATGGTACAGGCACAAACATACAGACCGACAAACTGACTTGTTAGTCAGTTTATCGGTTAGTTTCTAAAAAATACGGTTTGGCTTCTGTCGCCCTTATTAAGACTCCTCAAATATTTTTTTCTTAAATATCTCCCTTGTATAGGCTTCGTTTTATGACAACTTTGTTATATTAGTAAGATATTATACCTTAAACGCCTCTGCATTTCTAATCTTTTTCTGTCTTAGCTTCTCGAGACTAGGTGGCGCAACAAACACAGTGTAAGGCTTGAGGTCTGAATTCCTTAAGATCTTCAGTGACTGCGGATGTAAGTTAAGCACACAGATTTTTCCGGAGTTGACAACTTCTCGTATTGCTTCTAGTGATGTTCCTGGAAAATATACAACATTGATGTCTATATTGGTCCATATATTTATAAATATATTTATAATATTATATATATTTATTTTACTATTTTGTTTTTAATTTTATAATAATATTACTCTTTTTAAATTACCTCAAAAAGAGGCTCTCAATTGATTATATTTTTTATACTTATGTTACGCAATTCTCTGATTCTAATATGATTCTATTAATTATCATAACAAACGATATATTTTAATCGCATATTAACACCACAATAATTTTGAAATATTTTAGTAAATTTAAAATTTGAACTGACCGTAGTATGCTTTCTCGTATTCCCCGTGCTCAACGAATTTCCTGTTTAGAATATCAGCCTCAAACTGCGTACGCGATATGAAGTGGTAATCCTGACCGGGAACCTCGTGGTCTTTGCGCGGTCTGGATGTATCTGTAATTAATATGTTAATTTTAGTATAGATAGAAGACTGAGATCAGAGACAACTATAGGAGATAGCAATACCAAAATATCTTAATAAAATTAGTAATAAACAGTCAAAGACAATATTCTAGTAAGTCATTACTACTTAATCATATTTAAATGATAGGTTTGAATGAAATTTTACATTTTTTTTAATGGATAGAAATGGAATGGTAATCTGGCCGTCTGCGCTATTGGTATACATTGGCGAAGCACCAATAAGGGATGATAGACGAGGGTGAAGCAGGTCATTTGGAATATCATGATGAATAACATCAAAAAGTTAAAGTTAAAAGCTAGTGATGGGCTTGTTAGATCTAATTACTAACAATCCCTTTCCCCCCATTTTCTTATATATACTAGTAACGTAGAACTAGAATAGTAAAATAAAAATTTACACTCAATTACTATTGTTCATTAGACAGCTTTCTTAAATTAAAAATTTTGTATAAAAAAAAAACAATAAAATAAACATACGTGGCACAGCTGCAGCGAATCTGGAACTGTCCTCCATAAGCCTCTGGCGGAGCTCGTGGCGGCCTATGTTGGGCGGGCCAATCAACACGATGGGCCGCTTGTGCGACGCGCGAGGGTAGTACAGCGCTACCTCCTCGTATGTTAGGATCTCCTCTTGTTCGTATTCTGTATTGAATTAAAATGATTACTAATATCCTATTATAATATTACAAATGTAAGAGTTTGTAACTATGGGTGATATTGGTTGCTCTTTCACGTAAAACCGACTAATCCGATTTGAATGAAATTTTGTATACTGGTAGATTATATCCTAATTAATGCATAGGATACTTCGTGTACTAAATCACGCAGAAAAAGCCGCGGAATACAGCTAGTAATATTATACATGTGAAAGTGAGTTAGTTTGTTACCTCGTAGTGCATTAATCAACAGCTATTAAATTTGGTATACACGTATCGTATATGAGATGGAGAAGGACATAAGCTATTTTTTTATTCCGGCCAGTAAACATATCCGCGGTTGAATTATTATTATAAAGAATATTATTATTATATCAGCCGTTAACTGTCCACTGCTGAACATAGTCCTTCCCCATAGCGAGGTTTTACCAGTAGTTACCATGCTTGGCAAGCGAATTGGCAACCGCAGTTAGGCTTTTAGAGATGAATACATCTCTAAAAGCCTAACTAAAATTAAGAGGGACACAGGCCCATCCCTCGACCGTTAAGTTCCCTTAATCACCTCTTACGATACACACGGTAAAGGAAGGGGCGGCCCATTCAATATTGGAACCACACCATAAAATATTTTCTGTAATTATATACTAGCGTTTACCCGTGACTTCGTCCGCGTGACCAGAGAGAAAAAACTAATTAATACTAAACATACCGTCTGCTCCAGAAGTCGAATACAATGGGTAGCCCGCTTCACTGGTGGCCTTCTTTCCTTTCTTTTTTCTAGGCGGTTTCTTTGCACAAAGCAACGTGCCACCTTTTCGTGGTTTATCCCTCGCAGCAACTTCACCCGCTAACGTTAGCTTCATTGATTCTCGTCTATTAACAAATAACAATTACTTACTAACATTACATAAACCTACGTTAGGCGTAATGACGATTGAAAAAGTGATTGAAATATTTGACAATAAATAGTATGATTTCCGTGATGTAACTGAGAATATTTGGTTCAGATAGCAGAGATATGGGTTTGAATCCCCATCGAATTGAGCTACCAGAAGGTACATTTTCAATAGATATTTCAATTCAATCAATTTTCAAAAAGAAGGAGGTTCACCACCTCAGTGGTATTAAAAAAAATATTCTATCTATCTATCCCATTTAAGAGTTGCGCTCTTGTCGGTGGAGCTCTTGCCACTCACTACGATTAAAAAATATTACGTCTACCCATTTGAGAATACGTTATTGTTATTGCCAATTATGTGTTTATATATACTTACTGGTGTTGGAAAGCTTGGCTGGGTATCAGGCCTGCGAGCGTTTGGTCCTCTTCGCCTTCCCGGAACGCTTGCCACCAATTAGGATCTTCGCGACTGATCACGTGTAGGACGTCGCCTTTTTGGAAACTTATGCCTAGAAAGAAAAAAATAATTCTTGACGTTAATATGATTTCATTACATATAAATTATAAAACTACGGCTTATGCATAGAGACCAGTTTCAGATGTTACTTTCAAAAACAGCACACTTCTACTTGTAAATAAATGGAAATGGCAAATAAGTTGACAGTCCAAGTAAGCTGAATTTGCAGTGGTCACACAACTCGGAAAACCAACGATCGATGGGAAAGAAAAGTTTTTGATTGACCTCTCCGTACGGGAAAACGCAGCTTAGGACGATGCTCTACTAGATGGAGCGATGGCCTCAAATGCATTGTAGGGAGTAAATGGATGCAGGTAGCTCAGGACTGTTCCTTATAACAGTCTATGGGGGAGGCCTATGAAGTGCTTGAACATTTAGCAGTGGACAGATGATGACTGATATGATGATGATAATAAAGGTATGCCATTATCATCATCATCATTATATACATATACTCACAGCTCAGTATGTGAGCTCTGGGCAGTGTTGTATTCGTTCATATTATTCAGGTACTCGTAATAACTATATCATAAAAAGATTGCACTATTTGGCAAATGTTAAGGCTAGGTTGTAATTTTAGATTATATAGATAGAGCATCGAGTCTTAAAAGCGGGTCAAATTTTTTTACTCGTTTGTTTACCATATGTGTTGTGTTCTATATACTTACGCACATAATGTATCTTGACGTATCTACATATATTTGATTATTTAATAAATATGGTAAAATGTGTTTTACGCATTAAGAATATGCAAAAGTTATAAAACAAAATAAATATAAAAGTTATAAAGGAAACACTCATAACTATTTATCACGCAAAATTGTATGGAAAAGTCGACTCGCTTTTCTTGAAGCAATTGTATGGGGGCACTCTATCTATATAATCTAAGATTGCACTATTTGGTGAATGGATAAGAGGTTTTAATGTAGATATCCAAACGTACCGAGCTCGCGGCACGGTATGTAGACGTCGTCCTCGGGGTCGTAGTCGAAGTGCGCGCGCACGTGCAGCACGCGGTGCGCGGGCGGCGGCGGGCGCGCGGCGGGCGAGCGCGCCGGCGCGCGCGGCGCCAGCACCACCGACAGCGTGCCCGACAGCGCGCCCAGCACCTGGCACACCTCGTGCACAGACTTGCCGCGCATCGCCACGCCGTTCACCTCCAGCAGCTGCCGGCGTCAACCATACATATACATACATACACATCTGTCACGCCTGTCCCCCATTACGGTAGGCAGAAACAATGGAACAATACGATACACTTCAGATGTTTCTTTTTAATGAATGACAATGAAATGGCAACTCCGCCCGCGCCACCGGTATACACCGGCGGAGCACCAGTGAGGGATGATAAGTGAGGATGAAGCAGGTTAGTTAGCCCATCATGACGAATTTAGCAATAATTAACCATATTGGTTTCCAGGAGAAATCGCGCGGAGGTCGACCTGACAGGGCATGTTGCAAGCATTGGGGCAGTCAGACCCCATTACTAACAATCCATTTCTCCCCGGACTTATGTTATTACACAAATGTTAGTACACAAAAAAACCACCAAATTCAATCATGGCAAAACCAGTTATTTTTATTTAAAAACTAAACTATAGAATCTATTTTGATAAATGTTTTACGGAATAGATCCGAAAGTTTCATGTATCCTTTAGATAAAAAAAGAATTTTGTGAATTAGAAAAATTCTGCAATTTAATAATTGAGTCACAATTATGAAATTATAAAAATTTTCTCACAATCTTTTCTATAATTTCATATTTAATAATAATAAATTTTACTTCACTTATTGTTACAATATAATGTGAAATCCCTAACTCCCAAAGTAGGTATAAAAAACTGCGTTTCACGAGTGAAAAGTGAAAGTGAAAGTGTAACAAATCGTATGAAATTTCATATTTGAATTTGTACTATTATACAAAAAAAAAAAAAAACATACAAAATATAGCTCTTACCTCGTCCCCTTCGTGCAATAATCCCGATTTTTCTGCCGCACCACCTCTCACTATCCTTCCAATTATGACTGCTTCTCCTTCATTTCTTACTGTAGCACCTACAAAGCAAAAATTAAATTAAATCGTAACAAGCATTACATAGGAACCACCCATTAACATACCGTAGCTATGGATAGTTCTCTCCGCCGTAAGAAAAACCTACTAATTAGTACTAGTTACATTTTTGTACACGGATTTTCTGTCGATGAGCTTAGAATTATCTGATAGTGAGCTTTCTGTTAAGCATAGACATGTCTGTGAGTACCTACATATGCGCATTTTTAAAGGAAAATAAATTATTATTTCGAAGCGGGTGGGTTCGAAATTTTAAATCACTTTATAATTGTCATAATATATACGGTTTTGTTTTGAGTTTTTCTTCTTTTACAGTAGTGTGTTGTGCTTTAGTCGCGTATTAATTAAAAAATGTCGGTGACATATTGTTTTCTCATTACATAATGACATACACATTCGTAACAGATTCGCATTAAGTCCACCTTTTGTATGATATCTTATTAGTCGGAAAAATTAAATAAATAAATAGACAACAGTACATATTTCAGTAAAATAATAAATAGGTATTATTATTTAAATAACTTTACTGACCAAAAGAAAATATGGTACAAAAAATGGGTTTAATGCTAGTATCATTCTCAAATTACAAGCAAGATTCCAAAATATATTAAGTTACAAGCTCTAATGATAATAGATTTGGAAAATATTACATTAAAAACACAATACTCACCAAGTGGTTCATTAGTCTTTTCAATTTTAATAATTTTGATGTGCTCGCTCGGGTCGTCCGGCGAATGCGCCGTTAAAGCTTTATCGTTCTCTCCTTTGTGATTATAGTTGTTACCAGTCTGAAATTATGTAAATATTATGATAATTCTCGTGATAAAATCTAACGGAAATATATGCGCGAAATATTATGGAAGCTCTATCGAAGCAGCCACTTGGTCGGATTGCTTTAAAGAAATAATTGTAGGATTAAAGAGTAATGAGGATACAGTATAAAGTAATTTAAAACTCTTTTAACCATTACTTAACAGAGAAATAGGCTATTGACTTCCCTAATAAAAATAAACTACAAAGATAAGTGTTAAGTAGATATATTTGTTCAATAAACTAAGCATATTTTCACCACATTCTTAAATCTAAGGTTTGCCTTTAAAACATTAAATAATATAGTCAAATTTTGTCAGCTGAGTCATGAACGTTATTTTTAATTATCAATTAGTAATAAAATTGTAGTATAAAAAATAAACAAACAATCGATATAAAATAAGAACCCAACATAATATATATATATATATATATATTAAATATACTTCGAGTTACAGGTAAGAAAAAAATGGGTGGCCTCTGGAAACCTTTGGAAAATTGGGTTTAATTTCTGGTAAATTCGTCACGATGAGGTAACTGTCCCGACTATTTCATCCTAATCTATCATCCTTTACTGATGATCCGCAACATATACCGATAGCGTTTCAGACGGGGTTACCATTTCATTTTCATCTTTTTAAAAAAAGAAATATCTATTGTAAATATAGTTATTGTAAAAAAAGAAATAACAAACCTTATGCCTCTTTCCCCTGTTAAAGCAGGCGGGGTCGAGTAGAGCGGCTGCCTGGTCGTGAGCTTGGATCAGACTCTCCAACTCCATACCGCCTAGTATTGTGAGCAATTCCGCGGCCAACGCCGACGACTCACCTCCTGCAGCTGTTTGTGCACCTAGGACGTCCATACACTGTTGGCAAATAATTAAAATACATTTCAATATACTTATAAACACATTTTTTTATTAATATCATCATAATATTAATATAACACTGTTGGTTGTGGGTACACCAAGGCTGTTATAAGCCAATTTAAGTTTTAAGTTTCATCCAAGAACTATATCCCATTTCATAGCTGTATATATGAGTATCTGTGTATTTGAAGTGTGACATAAAGTCCTTTAATTTATTATCTTTGTATCCCATTTTGAAATATACCAATAAAGAATATTCGATATTACAAAATGCCTACAACACTATAAAATATATAAAATATAATAACAGAGTTTTGCAAAATATACAGGAAAATAAGTATATTTCTGTACTTTTGATTGAAACATATGCTTTTCACCCAACTAACGTAGCCTGCGTTTGACACACTTCCTTTACCATATATACCTACATTATCTACATTAGATCATTTATATTTTCTCTATTACATAAATGTGATAAAATGTGTTTTATTGCTGTACGAATACTCTACTTCTATGTTTATATAGATTTTGAATAGTAGAAGTCTTCTCAAATTGACAGAGATGACTAAATCCTCGTAGAAAAATACCTTAAAATATACTTAATTTTTCACTAACATTTAAACATTCGAAATATGTATAAATTTTCGAAAATCGAACAAGACCATTAAAATGACAGTAAAATAAATATTAATTATTTCTGCATGTAATTGAATAGAGAATTTTAAGTTTCTTGCAAATTTATAACAGTAGATACCTACATGAAGCACGCGTACTGTCTTACTGCATTATGTATGCCGCTTGAATACGCATGCATACGAATCAGGAGCTGTCCTGGTTTAGCTCACCGAAATGGAAGAACATTTACAGATAATACATGATTCATCTTTCTTTTAAATGAATGTTTTTGCATAAGTGCCGTAAAAATATTGAATAATGCAATCCAGGTAAAGACGACGTTCAAATAATGAATCCGTAGCTAACTTCAGTGTCTTCTAGTAGGTATTTGTAAAAATGGAAACTTGAAATTATTAAATAAATTAAAAGAGTTCCAAAGTTTGCTTAAAAATCACATTAAGCTGTTTGTTACAGAATATTTTCATTGTAGCTTGAGATAGCTCTATCATATTTTTAGATAAAAGTTAAGGACAAAATAAATTATCCATTTAACAGATGAAAACTTATTCTATATCTAAAGAAATATTAAAAAAACAATGTTATTGAGAATTAACTTTTGCTTAATCTCAGCAGTACATGAGATATAACCCATTATATGTAGATAGAGATCACGTATTAATAGCGATTTCAAGTTATTATGATTTATCAAAGTAAAGAAGATATAAGGCACCTGCCGCGTTGTACCTAATGAGCCAGAACAAATCTGAAATTGGTTGCCGATCTAACGCGCGATTTCCTCTTGTCATGCGTAGACAGGTAATTTTATGTAGATCAGTGGGATAGCCGCAGATTTCAAACTATCATTATGGCAAATATTCTCTTTTAGACTTTCGCATTGAAGGTAATATACGGTAAAAATACAGTCAATGTTGTGTGCTGAAACCCTTTCAGTATAGAGAAACAATTTGTGTGATATGTGTGGGCAGAAGTAAAAACTTCTGCCTCAGAAGTGGAAACTATATCAGTCTACTTGTGACCACGGCCGGTGTAATCTCGTTGAAATATCGAGAAAAGCCAGGTAAATTATCATAGTTTACATAAATGATCGCGTTAATTCACGTTTCTTATAACCAATTATAACGAGTAATTAATTATAAGAGGCTTCATTGCGACCTTCGTGGTTTAATAAAAGATTAATTAAAAAAAGAGATCTCAACCAATAATCCAATTCTAGTTTATAACTTATGATGAACTAATATATGTACATTCAGAATTAGCAACAAATGGGTATCGTTATAGACTCGGTGATAAAAAATAGTGTTTTTGACTGATATTTCTAGATTGGTGGCGAAACGCACGTGACAACTTAAGTGTTGGAGTACTTTATGATACGGTTACCGTTATCTTACTGATCAATGATAATGACACGAAAAGAAAAATTACAACGAATAATTCTTTTGTAAATAGATCAAACATTAATGAACGGGTGTAACTGAAGTGTAACGTACTTGACCACGACTTTAAGAAAAGTGACAAGCGACGCGGGAAAATGTATAAATTAAGTCAGTCGCCGCAATTGGCACCAAAGTCGTCTTCATCAAAGTCGTGGACGAGCGTTTATGTGGATTATGATGACGTTGACTGATATTTTACATTATCTTGATACAGCATACAACATTTTCTGTTTTTTCTTAAGACTGGGAGAAAATGCTGTACATCGTTAAAGAAAGTTATCGTAACAATATAATAAAATTTTAACTAGACCAGTGTTTCCCAACCTTTCTTGGGCCATGCCCTACTTGAACATTTCTAAAAATGTTATGCCTCCATACATAATTTTTCCCGGCAAAGTTTATTTGACGACTCTAATCACCCAGTTGATATTTTGGCAACGTCAAACGAACTTGTATCTAATAAATATTTACAGCATTTTTTTATCTACTTTTTTTGTTAAATTTGGCAACAATATGCCCGAAGTAAGAAGGTTAAAATCACTTCGTTCGTTTTTTAATTGTAGGGCGTGGGCCTCACGTTAGGAAATACCGAACTAGACGATGTTTGCACATAGGAGATATTAAAAAAATTTAAGGTCTCTTATTAATTTTTCTTAAATATATAAAGTTTACAGAAGAAGTTTTTAAAAGTAGTAATAGAAAGCAAAATAATATTTTTTTAACAATTTTATAATAAAATAAAATAAACCAACAATGGTTAACTATTTCCAAATCCACGCGTACGAGGTTGCGGGCAAAAGCTATAAGCTAAGCTAAGTATGCGGCATAAATAAATAAAAGTTACTTACGTCCTTCAATCTGTCAGTAGCTCGGTGCGTATGCGGTGGAGACAGACCCTGTCGTTTATGTCTTGCAGCGGTGAGAACAGCGGAGCGCGTCGCCAGTGCTGTCCTCAATGCAGGACAGAGGAGAGCACCAGCGGCGCCTGCAACCCGCGCTGCAAGCGCTGACTCTCCATTCGCGCCAAGGGCTTTCTGTACCCTCGATAGTGCTGCGCATACTTCTTGGTAATCTGTAATGGGGTGAAATAGTTATTTCAAACTTCATCCACATTGGGTTCGTTACAGGATCTTCCAGTGAAGAGAACCGAGTGCCACAGAATCCTATCCTGAATATACATCATATCTTTTTGTTCACTTATTTTATCACATAATTTTGATATTTTTATTATATTACATTTATTATATTCCAATAAACTACTGAAGTGAGGAAATCGAAGCCATCACATCATCAGTAATATTTAAAAATCCCCATAACTGATCATTATGCACCACTTTTATATTAATGAAGTAATTATCAGCAAGACTACGTACTTATATAGACTATGTGAAGTTTTTAACAAATCAAAGTAGTTAATAAAAATTGTAATATATTCCTTCGCTTGAAAGACGTAGAAATAATATAAGAAAGCAGAATTTATGGCTAGAGACCGACGTCTGTAGCCATCAAACCAATGAAAACCATCAATAAAATCAAGAGCACTATGGATATCACATAAAACAATGTCCAGGTGAGAATTAAATCTTCGGACATCTGACAATTCTAAGCGAAATATAGTCAGGCAAGCACAAATACTTGGCGGCTGACACTATTTTTTTATATCTACTTATTAAGTAAAAAGATTCTTAAAATCTTTTAAAATAAAATACTTTATTTGCTTTGAATAGGTGATAACAAAGTTCTTATTGAATAAGTAAACAGAATTTCGAATGCACCGCCTACTTAATTTTCTGCTTGTCTCATGGTTGACTGGTAGAGAACGCCATTAGGTGTTAAATGCGCTATATGTATAATTATATTATATAATTGTGCATTGAAGTTTAAATAAATAAATTTCGAGTATCAATAACTAGTTAATTTTTAATTTTTTAACACAAGATGGTTAGTAATTTTGCTTTTTAAAAGTATTTTTAGAATGTAGATACGTTACAATTATATGCGAGTATTAGCTGATGTGGAATAAACTTGAACAGGTCAGGTTAGTTCCAGTTCAGTCGGTAATAGTTCGTCGATCGTGTCACACGGTTAATATTAGATATTATCTGGGTCGAGGTGAATGCCTCCATTAACTAAATACATTTCAGAGTGACTAGTAAAAATCTTTGAAGCGCAGGTTTCAAATGCTAGCATATTTAAATTGGGATCGTAAAGGCGCCAATCTACCTGAAACACTCGTAGAAATATCAACATAGTTGTTTAATATTTCAGTCGGTGTTAATGGATTTTCCGTTTTATATGCTTCGAAATATTTTAGAGTGGGTATGTAAAATTCTTGTTTTTATGAGCTCCTGAATTCCATTAAAGTTAGACTAGATTAACAGAGAACAAAGAGCATAGAAGAGTTAAAACAGAATTATATGGATTTATACTAAAAGGATAATGTAACAACATTTTTGTATGAACGAAATAAAGAATGCTCTTTGTCGTTTCTTATTGTAGAATTAAAAGTAAGAAAAGAATATGAGACTTTGAACAGTACAAGAACTAGAACATGTAGTAGTCGCTCATTAAGGTATGAAATAAAGACATCAGACTAAAAGTACAGTACAAGTGTTAGAATAGAACAAGACAAGAACAGTTCTGCCATTTACCAGAATGCTTCTCTGTTCTTATTCTGCCTTCTAAGGTGACGATTTATAGATTATTACCATTGCAGACATATAAGTTTGTTTAATTTAAATTTTATTGTCTAATATAAATTAAATTGATGTACAAATGTGTTAAAAAATTGGTTAATCGTGCAACGTTAGAGTACATTTAGGACGACTATGTCAAAAAAAAAAGAAATTGTAATGAGATTATAAGAAAAAGCAGAGTTCGCACGTTTGATATAACTCTTAAGCTTATTTAAATTATATAAAGGAAAAGAATGGAAATTTACGCTCTTTGTCCTGTTCTGTCTTTACACGTGCCTAGATATTTTATTAAAAAGTTTTATACTAAAGGAATATCGCTATGAGCTGATTGAAAAATATTATGGAATAATTCTAATCTATTTAATTAAAAACTACTCACCAACTACAGTATATAAGTGCGTAGAGTCATCGCTCAGGTCGTCCTCATACGCGTCGTTGACAAATGCCGTGCCCGAGGACGGCGGCGTCGACTCCAGGGCCTGAAGTTTGTGAGAACTCCGCAACGATGTCCTGAGGAACTCATTTTGCGCCGCTATGCGTTCTTCCACTTCTTTGCGTTGTCGTAGTTGTTCCTGGAGAAGACAAGTTTATTATTAAAAGGGTGCTAAGAAAAACATTTAGTGAAATAAGAGTTCGCCAATTGTACCTGTGCAAGATTAGCATACACATATGTACCAGAGGGAGACTTTGTACAAAAGTCGATTGCTTGGGTACCTCTGTTCCATTCGTGTTTTAACCGTAAAGCAGTTGTGTTTGCATGGCTGTGTTTCGGTTTGAAGGTAATAACACCTGAGTCCTCAGGAATGGCAACGGCTGGGGGGTATCATGGGCGAAACAGTATACTCTGTTATGTCCATGGTACTGCTCATGTCTATAGGCGACGGTTACCACTTTCTATCAGGGGGGCCGTCAGCTTGTATGCCATTCTAAGTTGTATAAAAAAAAACCGGTCAAAACAGTACACATGGTTTTGATTTGCGTAATGCAAACGAGAAACGTTTGTCCACAGAAGACAAAATTTCATGTTACTTGTATGTCTCACAGATTCTATTAATAAATAAGAAAAAAATTATAGTGTTTCTCTGTTATTTTGAATTTAATTTCCACAACTATTTAATCTATAAACATGAAAATAAAGATTATGCATACAGACCCTGAACCCACTAAGCATAAAACTCAAGGGAACACAACATATTTATAAAAGTAGTACAATATCAAACAAAACCAAATTATCTATCCAAATGCCTGCAGTTTTATAACTTATATAAGTTTTAAAATAACACCAGCCAATTAGCGAATAACCTTGTTGGTATTTACTGGGTATATATTATATTCGTTATGAGAATAATATTGTGTAAAGCAGCTTTATACTCATTATAGAGATATAAAGCCGTTTTTCTCGGAGATTCCTCTCACCTGACGGGCAGCTTTAGACTTTGAACGAGAAATTCCCTCTATTCCTCTTAAAAATTCTAATAATATGAATTTTCCATGTAAACATTTCTCAGATGAAATTTTCTACAGCTTTATTTTTTATTACTATCGGGTTTTCGTGTAAAAATTTCTATAATTGTTTTATGCGTCAAATGATTATTCATCTTTCTTTTCTTTTTTTGTTAGTCTACATTATTGTTTGAAAATGTATGTGAATAAATATGAAATAACATTTATACGAAAATTTTGTTGGCAATGATAAGCAATCGCAACGAGGAAGTTTTAGAAAAGTAGTGCAGTATATTGCGAGCACATTAAGGATATTCTAAAAAAAAAAATATTAGGTATATTACAAAACGTGCCAAAGAAAAACTGCCATAAATTTAACTACATACATAGTATCTTTAAACCTATTAAAGATAATAAATATTCAGATCAAATGAGTACGTGTTTTAGTTAATAAAATATGAATTGTTCTAATGACTTTGAAGACGAGGTCACGTTTTTATACGTGTAACCTAGTAACGTGTCGTTATCAATTCGTATTTATGAATAAAAATGTTGACTAATTATAATATACCGTACTTGATTATCAATTAATAACGATGTTTACAAAATTTATAAATATGCATAAATATTTCCTTTATAAATGAAAACAAATATATTTTTATCAATTATTTTATTAATGTGCCCTGTTAAATGTGAAAATTTTTAAACGTCTTAAGATAACGGAACGCCCACCAAATATATTTTATTGTATGGAACCTCATATCAAATGATTACAAATCAAAAGCACTGTAATTTAAATAAGAACAAAAGCTTTTATTAGAAATATTTTAAAAATATAAACATTTTATAGTTGCCTTTAATTTTAAAGAATGAAATAGTTTTACTATAAATAATTTCACAGAACCCTGGTGACTTTTTTACAGAACCCCTAGGTTCCGTAGAACCCACTTTAGGAATTGCTGTTCTAACGTAACACATGTCTAAAAGTGGCAATTACTGATTTTCATCAGGTCAATATCCGTCATTTGTTTGCTATTCACAAACGTTTAAAATCAAGCAACCGATTCACGTTGGGAAGTTGTAAAATACAACTCCAATGCAATACATTGTGTTGGATTCTTTTTTATACATATCTAGGATTCCAAAAAGAAGTTTAATATACTCTAATATTTAGGCTCCAAGAAAACGTAGGCGAGATCTGGAAGTACATTTCAGTAATCATTTCCTGGTGGATGCGGTGAACAGCACAAAACTCCTATTTGGGGCAATACATTATTATAGGAGTGCTTAAAAGCAATTTAACAGAAAATAGGAAAATTAGATTTCTCTGAATTTAGTTATAACTTATTTGGATTCCCTGTTACGATTAATCCAACTTATTACGAGTAAATAAATGCAAAATCAATAACGCTATGTGAGTTTCTATGGTTTTGAACTTTATATGAATAATTTTCAGGATTATTTGGAAGGCGTCCGTAAATTATTGTAAGACCTCATACAGGGAATATGACATGTTCAACATAAGCTTGTACAATAAAATATCATCAGTGAATAACTACTATATTATATTTGTACATCACAATTTCAAGATCCCAAATTACAGTTTTATGTTATTTATTGCTGTATTAAATTACTTTCTCAAACACTATGAGTAATAATAATGGAACAGTAATTCAGATTCTATCTCTATTAAATCTTCTAAGTCTTCATTGTGTATAATTGTATAAATCGACTTTTTTTATAAAATAATAAATCAGCAATACGATATAAAATATAACAGCGTATTGTTCGTAAGTAGGTAATTCATAGCGAGAATCTGTTCAAATTCATCTCTATAATACGGCCAGTGATCTCTATTCAGTGCATTTCGTACTCAACGGTCCGGACATCATGACGTTTTTATGCTTTTGTTTATGTCTCGGCCAAGTGGCGTTTGGTATTATACTCTAATCGGGAACAGAGAAGTACCCTCAATATGGTACTCAATCTTTTGTATATCCATTAAAGCACTATTCACACAGCTCCGCCTTCGTCAGAGTTTGTCAGAGGCGGAGAAAAGGTGGCGTATATTTTGTACGTACTTGGTTACATAGTTCAGTATCAGGCGCGATTAACGGGTTCTCAGTTTCCGGAATATGTACTGAAGCATACAGGTGCCACCATTATTACCCATTTCTAATACCATTGGAACTATGGATGCTATTTTTAACCTACGCACAGGAACGACGTTTAGCCATATCTATCCACACTAATGCAAATTTTTTTATATTAAAACAAAGAGAATGCAGTAGATGCACACACAGGTTACGGAATGAGCTCTCTGCCGAGGTTTTCCCAAGAGACTACAGTGTGGGGTTCTTCAAAAGGAAGGTAAAGAGGTTTCTTCAGGGTCGGCAACGCGCGCGTAATACCTCTGGTATTGCAGGCGTTCATAGGCTACGATAACCGCTTACCATGAGGTGGGCCGTATGCTTGTTTGCCACCTCAGTAGTATAAAAAACACTCGAACGATTGAAAGAATAATCTAGTATTCTATACACATGTCGGAGATATAGTTATCTATATCACTGACATGTGTAGATATGGATAACGGATGGAATTCTGAGCTCGAGCAGCTTGGAGTTCGGAAGTTGGAGCTGTGTGAATGAGGCTCAAAGTGATGTCAAGTTTTATGCAATGTAATTAATAACTGGAACACGACGGGTTACGCCGCTCTCACTGTTACGTGAGGCGGCAAAATATAAGATAGACTCATTCATCTCACTTAAGATTGTTCATTTTACTATCTCAGCTATTATATAATTCATAATTAAATATATATCAAAGTATTGTTTATAAAAAGGTAAGAAATTTTACTTGGTAAGTAAAATAAAAAAAAGTAAAAAAAAAAAGTTTAATAAAAAAGTTTGAAATAATAAGGTGCCATTTCACTATAGTTATCTCCAAAAATTTTGCCCTGTTGTTCCGGGATACAATGAGCTACCCCTTACTTTCTCGTGGGTATCGTAAGGGCAACTAAGGGAACTTAATGGTTAAGCGATGGGGAGCAGCGTCCCTCATAAAACATCATCAAAAATCTAACTGCGGTTTCTAACATGACTACCAAGCATGGCAACTACTAGCAAAACTGTCATAGAAATTATGAGGGAACTAACAGTAAACAGTTAAATTATAGATACAGCAGTAGACTTATAAAAATTACTATTCAAAAATGATTTATTTAAATTTATTATATATTAAAAAAAAAATACATTAAGATATTTAGTAAAGATGGCCTTTTAAATAGTAATTGATACGAGGAATCATATGGGATAAAATGTTTATTTTTTCTATGTATTTGTAAGTATATTTTATTTATACAAAATAGGATAGCAGAACATAGTTTCTTATTGATTTTTCCCAAATAACCCCCTTGAATAGAGCTCATTCCCTGTGGGTTAAACAGGGATTGAAAGTGATGGAAGTTTGGAACTTTGTTTGGAAGTTTTCTATAGAGAAAATTGAGATATCTCATCTGGCAATGGTTAGTTTATATTTAAAGTAGCCGGAGAGTAAGTTTAATGCCGAAATGTTATAGGGATAAATAAAGACGACGTGAATATTTGTTCCTTACAATAACCATAACGAAATGATGCACTATGTAATAAATAGGAAAATTCTATTTATAATATTAATTCAAATAATAAATTATTATACGTCCGTGTGATCGCAGCATAGAATAGGCCACCCCTTTCTTTCCCGTGAGTGTCGTAAGAGACGTCTAAGAGTCGGCGAAGGATGGGCAGCAGCGTTCTTTTTAAAGAATTTCCAAAGCCTTACTGCAGTTGTCAATCCCCTAGGGGGAGGCTTATGTTCGATAGTGGATAGTTAAAGGCTGATGTGACGCCGATGATGAATATATTATTATAGTCAATTCTATCGATTGCAGAATAATAATTACATAACATAATACAGAGATATTTAGAACCCTTCTTTTAGGCGATTTGTAGCTTGAAAAATAAAATATTTATTTATTATTTATGTGCATAACAAAGGTACACGTGATGGACATAATACCTAAAGGCGTTCTCCGCCAGTGAACCATGGGGTAAACAGAGATGTTTGATGGCGGTACTTAAAAGGGAAACTA